ATAGTATTAGTAGCGTATAGAGTAATAAAGTAAGTCGTAAAGATTAGTATATAATATACCTATATACTATAACTATCGAGAGTAGCCTACTCTTTACTAATCTTATAGTTAGTATACTTACTCTAGCTACTATCGAAGTAGTCCTTAATTACTCTATTCTCCTTTACTTACTACTCCTTTAGAAGAAGATTTAGAAGATTTAATACCTAGAAAGTTAAGTTATATATCTTATTAATATACTTCTTATCGATAGTATAGTATAGTATAGAATTAATAAAGGTTTAATATACTAGAGAGATTATACCTAATAATTAAGTAGAAGTACCTTCCTACTATACTAGCTATAGTTATACTACTAGCTATTACGCTAGTATATATACTACTAGTACCTAATAGTATACTATTAGAACTACTACTAGAGTATTAGTAGGTAGTAGCTATATACCTACTAGATTTAGTAGTAGATTTAGTATTTAGTTAATATCTATATTATCCTATTCTAAGCTTCTAATAGTAACCTCGTTATCGTTATTATATTACTAGTTAGAGTCTTAATTAATTAGTAGGTCGTTATACTAATCGAATTAAGATTATGTCTAGGTAGCTTAGCTCGTAGCTCTATCTCTACTTCTTCCTCTCTAAGTAATACTACGAGCTATTATCGTCGTCGTTATAGATAGAAGGTATAGAATAGTATATTAGCTAGTATAAAACTAACTTAATCGTAGCTACTACTATATACCTATCGTCGTTATTACTTTGTAAGCCGCTTACGCGCTACTAAGTAGAGTAAAGGATACTAAGTTATACTAGAAGAGGGGTACTAGTATCTAGCTCTCGTATACAGACTAACGAATATTACTCTCGTAGTGTCTCTCTAAAGTAAGAATTCTATATATCTAGATATATAAAATCCCTTATGAAATAACTAATAGTTAAGCTTCTTTACTATCTATTCTCTTAAAAACTACTTATCTCTAGCTAGAACGATATTACTATAAGTAGAGCTATATAACATATAAGAAACATATATATTAAGAGGCTAAACCTTTTATAAGGACGCTAACTCTAGCGTAAAATCTGTTTACTCTTTATAGAGAGTAGTACTTCTAAGTATAAGTATATATATCTATCTATAGTCTAGGCAAAAACAAGTAGCTATTAGTACGATTAGCTTACTACTATATAGTATTAGTACAGGACTAATTAGTAGGCCTAAGATACCTAAGCTAGTAGTATTAGTAGAGTTTAGTACGTATATAAAGTCTTTAAAGAAGGATAGTCTTATTATATAGAGACTGTTTCTATAATAGAGTTACTAAAGATATCTAAAATTTACGCTCTCTAATTAAGCAAATCGTTATCTACTACCTATTAGTTATCCTAAAGAGCTTCTTACTAAATGTCTTAGTATACTACTTAATATTATAGGTACTACTAAGTATTTAAAAGTATAGGGTAGTATAGAGCGTAGGAGTACCGTTTAGTAGTACTATAGCTAGCTATAGAGCGTATATAGGTCGTAGAGATAGTATAAGAAGTATTATACTATAAGTATCTACTAATAGTATACTATAGCTAGAAGGCAGGTAGGTAGATAGGTAAGTAAAGAGTAGGTAGGTAGATAGATAAGTAAAGAGGAGAAAAAGGTCTCTATATATCCTCTAGACATCTTCGTAACCTCTATACTAGGCTTGGAATACTAGATAATACTAATTTACGATATATTCTATATATCTTTTCGATACTCCTACCTTATAATCGTAAGTTTCCAACTAGGTTGTCGTAGGTAGGTACCAGATACCTAATAAGGTATATAGTAGTAGTATCGCCTCTAAGTACTAGTAGGATAATACTTCTGAATCTTTTTTAGACTCTTAGTAGTAGTTAGCTACTACTGGAAAACTGCTAGTTACTCGATTAGGCTATCTAGTAGTAGGACTACTCTCTTAGTATCTATTATAGACCTCTGGAAATATTTCTTTTTTTAATACTAAGAAGAGAGAGTAATAGAAAGTTAGGCTAAAGAAGACTTAGTATTAGTATAAGTAGATTAATACTATATAGTACTAGCTATAGGTCGTGGGAACTAGTATACCCCTATACTACGTATATATATACTCTAAATAGATTAGCTAAGAGAGGCTAGAGACGAAGATACGCTATCTCTAGTACTAACTAGGAAGGGTAGTTCCTAAGTAGCTAAAGAGAAGAAGCTAAATAAGTCTAAACCTAAGACTCTACTATCTATATCTTTAGGCACTACTTAGAAGAGAGAGTAATAAGAGATTAGACTAAATAGGAATAGCTATTAGTAAAAGAATATTAGTACTAAATAGTACTATTTATAGCTTGTATAGATTAGTACACTTTTAAATACCTAACTTAGTAGAAAGTAGAGAGAGTTCGTAGCGTAAAACAATAAATACATAAAGTACTTATTACTACTATAGAGCTTAGTAGTAGGATAGGGTTTTAGAAAATGCCTAGAGGCTCGAGATATCTAGAGTATTAAAATACTAGCGTAAGTACGACCATATCGTAGCGTATACTAATATATTAGAAAGGATTATTACTACTACTCTAGAGGTTAGGGTTAATAGAGTTTGCTAATATATCTAGAGTCTCGTAAGATATATAGAAGTAGTACTAGGTAGTAGTCTACTATCTACTACTTAGCTAAAGGAGATTCTAACTAGGTATCTTTATATATAGCTTATAGGTATTAGACTTGTTTCTTCTAGTAGTATTAGCTTATAGTTAGCTATAGTAGCCTCTAAGAGTATATATACTTTACTCTTATTAAGTTCTTAAGTCGTTAATTCGCTCTCTTCTAATCGGCAAATTCCGGTAGTTTCTTTCGTTATTTACTATAAGAAATAGTTAATAGTTAGAAACTTATACTTATAAAGTATCTAAGCGTAGTAAACTTTTAATAGATAGAATACTAAGTCTTATATAATCTACCTTTCTTACTATTTTCGAATAGTTAAATTAGTAGGGCTATAGCTTAAATAAGTATTATTTACTAGGCTAAGATTTTTGAAAACAGACGTAGTACGTACATATTCTACGTACTATAATATACTAACCTTTCTTTCTACTCTAATTAAGCTAAAAGCTATTCTCTTTATTATCTACTATATATATAAGATAGCTAGTAGTATAAAGATTAACTTAAGTAAATCTTAGATATGTAGGAAGCTAAAGATACTATTACTTAAATAGATAGAAAAGAATAAGGTAAAAAAGCTTTAGGCGCCTATCTACTAGTATAAGAATACCTAAAACTTAGTAACTACTTAATAGTATAAAGAAGCTAATAGCTAGAGTAGCGTATAGAAATAGGCTACTTATAATAGAGTATATACTTAAACTAATAAGATAATATTAAAATATAAGGTAGCGTATAGCTCTTAGTTATATAGAGCGAAGTAGAACGACCTAAAGAGGAACTCTATACTAGATACAAGGTACCTAAAGTATATTAGTAGCTAGAGTAGTACTTTTCTACTAAAGTACTACGATCTACTAATATAGAAGCTTTATATTAAGCTTAATAAGACGTGCGAGTATATATCTAGTAGAAGGCTCTAGAGTTTATAAAACATTTATATAAGCTTCGTACTACTAATAATATAGTTACTAGTAATAAAACTATAACTAGTAGTAAACTTACTAATAGTAGCGTAGATAAAGAGACTTCTAATAGCTCTAATAATAAGCTAGAAGCTAGGATTACTACTCTTAGTAAGACTAAGAAAGTCGCTAGTAAAGACACTATATACAAAATAATATTACTATAGCTACTATAAATATAGTAAGGGATAAGGCTATAATAAAGTCTATTAGATACCGAATCTCTATATTACTAACATTAAGATATAGGCTATTAGTCTACTTCTATCTCTATTATATTAGATAGTTAAGGTATATAGGTCTATATAACTACTAATATTACTACGTAGTAGTAGTCTAGCTAGCTAGACTTAACTTATAATTCTCTTTTATTTAGTCTAAACTATATAAACTCTATAAGTAGTAATAGTATTATATACTATAGATTGGAAGGTCTATATCTAAGCTTTTATTAAATAGTATATAGTACTATAGAGTATAGTAATATAGATAGAAGTACTATAGCTAGCTATAAAATATAAATAGAGATTATAGAGATAGTATAGGAAGTATTATACTTTAGTAATCTAGTATACTAGCTAAATATTATAGCTAGTAGCTAAGGTAGAAGGAGGTAAGTAGATATATTAGTAAATTAGTATATTCCTACTACTAGATAAGTACTATATATTTAATTTAGCTAATTAGTAGTAGGATTACTCTATTAGTATCTATTTTAGATCTTTTAAAATATTCTCTATATTCTAATAGCTATTTTTCCTCTCTACTATACTTTAGCTTCTATAAAGTATTCTTTAAAACTTATAAAAACTTATATTATAGGTAGTATTCGTTTGTCTATCTATATTCTATACTCTCTATATAGAGAGCTATATATATTAATCTAGTAAGTAGAGAGATTTTTAATCTATATAACTTCTAATTATACTATATAGTACTAATTTAGCTAGGTATACGTAAATAGCTAATCTCTATATATAGTCTAAACTATATTCTTCTTATAAGTAACGACTATATCTAGAGTTAAAGGTAACCTCTAGATATATTTAAAGACTCTATTTCCCTACGAATTTATTAATATTAAGAATATAGACTTTATAGAGTAAGTAAATAGATAAGTAGATAGGTAGGTACGTAGGTAGTAGAATAGTAGGTAAAAATATAGAGTAGACAAATAGGTCTATATTAGACTAAAACGACTATACTAAACAAATATAGTACTACTAGAGACATATAATAGTACCGGACGAATATAACCGTACTAAACGAAGGAAATCGTATCGAACGATTATATTTAGACCGGATAGGAACGCTCGTATTAGACGAGTAAGACCTCGCTCGCTAAAATATATAAAATACTATTAATCCCTCCCTGTCTTTTCCGCCTTTCCTTTCCCTTCCGCCTCGGCTATAAACCTCTGGCACCTTAAGCGATTCCCTCCAAAGACGCTCTCCCATCCATCTACCCGTACTGCTCTCTCTAAGATCTCTGTCTCGACTTCCAAGTCCTCCCTCGAGCCTACAATTCTCTGCTCCACTTGGTCCGTAGTTAGGATCCAGTCGACGTTCTCTAGCATACGAACCTGACGAAACACCTCCACTTCATCGTCCTCTCCTTCTTCCTCTCCATTCCACCATCCATGGAAGGTCCTGTCCAAATCGCCTTTGAGCTGATGGATCTGCTTCGGGAACAGACATTCTTCCTTCTGACGGAGGTGCTCCCAAGCCCACGTGCACAGAAACGTTCTGCCTGCGTGCGTAGCAAGAGCACGCATGTCAAGCTCAAGAGTAGTAAGAAAATCATCCAGGTATAGGGTGAGCTGCGTACTGAGGAAGTCCAGTCTCTTACTCGAGGGAAGACGAGCTGGCTGATCGTCCAGAAAGGCGATAAGATCGTTGTGTGTGTTCACGTGTGCCGAGAGAGCATCGCGGAGAGAGCCAAGTTCTACATTGACTGTCCCGGTTATAAGATGCAGGAGGAGGATGGAAGTAAGGTTGGTCGCCACGTCGGGAGCGGCAGACCGGACCAGAGGTCGGAGACGCAGTATTTCTTCCTGGGAGACGGAGATGCGATGGTCCAGCGAAGAAACCAACGGCAGGATATTGGTCAGTCGAGTAGCGGTATCGTTGCAGAGCTTGCGGCCTTCCTCAAGGATCGGAACGAGGGGATCGAGAATTAATTGGAAGCGGACCAGACAGGCCAAGAGGTTGGTGGGTGAACACTCGCGGACGTGCTCCAATTGCTGCTTGAGGCGTTGCGCGCGGGCGACGAGGCGCGCATATGGTGTCCATGACACTATGTCTTCCTCCTGATCTTGCCATACGTCCTGCTGTTCCGCCTCTTCTTCTCTTCGTCCGCCCTCCTCCGCTTCGTCCTCGATATACGTCGTCGAGGTGCGAAAGCCCGGCCGCTCGTGTGTGCGGAGGAATGCGGAGACAGGCGGCTCGAGGAGTTGGTCAAGGACCGCCCATATCGGGGCGTGGTGAGCGCGCCCCAGAGCACGCGGCACGTGGCGCAGCGGAGGACGAATTAGCCAGTCAGCGAGGCGGTGTGGCAGGTAGAAGAGGAGGCGCTCAATGTGTGTGAGCGAGTCGTTACCGCCGGGACGAACACGATGAGGTTCTGGGAATTGTTGGTGGTGGAGCTGGTCGAGGTGTTGGAGCAGCTGCTGGGAAGAACAAGTGGCGGCATCGAGGTCGGACCAGCGATTCAGGTTCGGAGCGAGGTCCGGATGCTGACTACGCGCCTCTTCTAGTCTCTGCGACTTTTGCACGGCGTGTTGCCGCGCGCTCTCCGCCAGCCAGTAACTCAACCCAGCAACCAGAAACAAGAAGATCGACATGACAGTGACTTGAACAGAAATGATAGTCGTATCGTGGACGTGGAGACCGAGTTATACTTTAAGGTGCAGGCAAATCTTGTGCCGGGCGCGTGGAATTCTGGTAACGCCGACTGTACGACGGAATGCATGCATTAAGAATGCACCATCTCCAAGTCCACACGACGGACTGTACCATTTCTAGATGTATAAAAGAGCTTTCATTAACTTCCAATGCACACGACAATCGACATCGACAGTGTATATAACGGCAGACAATACCTCTCACTGCATGCGATAACACACCCCAACTTGGCTAGATCCAATGCCTCGGAACAGATGTCCACCCGGCAACGCCCGCGTCGAATTGCATGGTCTACGTACGGCGGGCAACCTTGCTTAGTTCCATCGAGCAGGATCTCGTCTCCCGTACTTGCTCGCATCAGTACAGAACCACGATGCTGCAGCGTAGTGGAGCACCTTCGGACGCCGCGATATGCAAAGATTCGGCGCTCCGAGACGAAAGGCCGTATTATAAGAAGAATTCTTCCTCCTCGTTTCTCTCCTCTTACACTATCAGTCCTCCCATCTATCCGCACGAGTTTTCGCTAAACATATCAAGACGCTGCATTGTCTGCACCGCATTGGGGACGCCCTATACGGTGCGGACAAATGTAACAATGTCTCCGTCCCGCGTCCGTGTTCCATTGCACGACATTCCCGTCGACAGGAGTCAGCTTGCCTGCCGTAGCACAGTCACCCACCCGACTCCATCGCACAGTCATATTCGGACGGATACCCTACAGAATCATAGCGGCGGCTCGACATCAAGCCAGTCTAGCCAAAGCCGCGCCGCTTCGCATTCGCAATCTAGCAGCTTTGTCGTCGACGGCAGCAAGCGGAACCATCTTTCTAAACGAGAAGACACCGCAGAGGAGCTCTCGGAGAGCACGATCGAAAAGCGCTCTTAAAGCGGGCCGGTCTCATGCAAAGGCGACAACGCAATGCAGTAAAGACTTCCGTCGAGCCCAGGCTTTTCAAAGTATCAGTCCGGACGTTCCAACACCGCTTGTCTTGTACGAAAGATTCAACAATGGAGAAGCCTTCGGGCTGCAGCAAGCCCGACAACATGGAAGACTTCTTTACGGCCATTCGTCGTCCACGGAAAGCGAGTTCCCTTATTCGGAACCGTAAAAGGGTCAAATTCTGCCCAAAATTCAAGGGATACCCTCTAAGAAATTATTGTCTCTTAGCTTCCAGTACAGATGCAGGTGCTGCTTGCGACGGCGGAACATCTACTATACAAATGCATACAACCGAGAGCGAACGGGATACAACATTATGATTGCAATCATTGCAATGAAGCGACCACATAACGGAGGGAATCTGTGTGAGAGTCGGAAAGCAAGCGAAGCTCGTGGGCGCATAAGGAATGCACGAGCACCGCAGAGCAAAAGGAAGCAAATCTCCGTTCCACTACCGCCCTTCCTCTTGCTGTTAGGAAATGGACGAAGAAAGTTAGAAGCTCAATTGGGGGCTGCTTGCTGTAAGGCAGGACCGGAGGAACATAGATAGTAGTGTGTTGGAGGACCTGTGGCGTTTATACATTCGATTCTCTCGTACGCAGTCTGGCCAACTGCGTATGAACGGAAGGGTGGATAGATCGGTGCACCTTAGGGATCTTGCGCAGGTGAGAAGGACCATTGGACGGGGTAGTCAAACACATTTTCTTCTTCATGCTGTATAATGTGACCTGTTTCTCCTCCGTTGCCACGCGCTCAGCCTAGCCAGCTGCGCGTAACTACCGGGAAGAACAGGTCGATTAGACGTATGGATGGGATATATGTGATAGGGTATGCGTAGTGTATGGCATCGATCGCATGACTCGTGCCACAATGCTAATTATTGATCGAACGGAGATCTACTTGAAGATGTGGGATGAGGCAAATGCCAATCGATCTTGTCGTCACATCGTAGTTGAATGGTATGCGGGATCTCAGCCTTATGTCTACGTATGTCATGGCTGTCAGTGCACTTTCTACCGGGCTTTGTGGCTTTGTGAGCAGCATCTGTTAACGCAATCCCTCGACGGTCGTGACTGTCGAATTGGGCGCCATCAATCTGTTCATAGATGTATCGGGGAGTCGCAAAATCCAAGCGCGCTCGTACTTGTCATTGTCGCGGATGGCTGAAAGTGAAGGTGCCTTGTGTACAAGTCGCTCGACGGCGTGTGGGACGCTCTCTCCCGCATTGTCGATTTCCACATTGTCGATCGATGTAGGAGAGTCGCGTTCTTAAGAATCAGTGGTCTATGGTCTGGAAAAAGGCTGTGTGTCTCAGATTCTCGGGAACGGCGCTGGCCGTATTCCTGAACTCATAAATGAACGCCAGTACTTTGAAATTAATCATGTTGAGCATGCTTATCCAGGATGCGAGCATCTCTCCGAGCGACAAAGCACGCTTGGAGGTCACTAAGGGAGATGTGCATGGCCTTAATGGATAGTTGCCAAGGGACACATCTGGTAACTACTCTCACCTCGCAGCTTTCTACCGAGATGCACTCTGTCCTATACCGCTGTCCCCTCCTACTTGCCCCTCAACCCGTCCCAAAGCTCTGTAGGCTGGCCACAGGCTACGTACATAGCTCTTAATGAACCTGTTTGGATGTCTTGTACCTAACTTACCCGAGGGTATCTTATACACGCCTGTTCCCGGATACCGTCTTCTGATCGGAATTGTTTGCTAGATATTACTTTCTTCTCCCGTAACGAGCAAGATCCCTAGTCTCGCTCGGTACCTATAGAGCCCGCGGAGCTTCAAACGTCGGTTGTAATTATACCCGAGCGGGATGTGTACCTACTTCGTTTAGATATCCTCGCCTCTTTATACCGCTTTTCAACGTATGTCCTCTGGTAGGCGGGGCTCTTATAGTTTGTGGGATGGAGAGATAAGCATCGAATTAGTAGTCCCAAGCTTCTGATATTACATCCGGCCAAGGAAGACTTCCTCGGTATGGTTACGATATCTGTCCACTTAGCACTCTTCCGTTGGTCCAAGATCATATCAGCGTCGTCGCGAAGAACGATCACCGACCAAGGTGGCGACACCAAATTAACAGGATCGATTACAATGACCCATGGCCAAGTGCTCCTTGTGTAAAGGACAGTGCAATTCAGGGAAGACCAACGTCAGCCAATTCTGCAGGTCGTCGTAGGTCGAACAAAAGGTCAGAAGAATATTCATGGGTCAGGAAACCGGCATGACATGACAGCTCGGACTAGCTGTGAGGCGACGTCGGAAAAGCTAATGCCAAGTATTGGTCCCGCGATAGGACTTAGGAGCGATCGAGTACGCCGTTGCAGACACATCTCGCTCGCCTCACACGACAAAGCGCTACAAAATGATGCAGGATAATGCTTCGCAATGTACCAACATCCGTGTAAGCATATGTTCTGAGCGGTGACATGCAATCGCCTTCCTCGTCCGTGCTATGGGCGACCGAGCAGATAAGGACTGGACTCGCCAGCGAGAGAGGAACAGATGGAAACGAATCGCGGACACAATGGACTTCCGACTGGCCTGCGCTGAACGCGTTGGCAGACCTCATGTAACTACAATTCGGGACAATCGGGCGGTTTCCCGTAGTCAAGCCACGACGAGCAGCGTGTAAGAGGCGAGGCAAAACAAGACGCCGGGAGTTCAAGAGCTGTACGAAGGACCGACGAGATGCTGCCGATGCGCAAAGAGCAGAATCTTAAACGCAATTGTGGTAGCCGTTGAGAATTTGGATTAGGTGCACAACATTTGTTAAGTAACTTAAGTTGAATATACCGAGGCATAAACAGAGCTAAAGCCGCTAGCATTGGTTGTCAGCAGCCGCACGGAGATCATATACGCTGTTCGCTACATTACGAAGAAGACTGTACATGTGGCTTATTATTGGTGCGACTACGACCAGGAGGGCAATTGAGTGGGACAGATGCTTCAGATCCAGCGCTGAATAGGGTCAAGCGAGCCAGCCCACAGGCGCCCAAGCTCTGAGCCGCTGCAGCCGCGTTTCATTTCCCTAGCTCCCTTGCCACAATTCGCTTGAAAGAATGATTGACGACAGATCTTCGTGCCAAATGAGACTTTGACAAGGCCCGCGCCAAGCCGTCTGCATTGCACGGTCACCAGCATTCACACGAATGCACGCTCTGCGAATCGGTATGGGCCAGCTCACGAAGACCTGTGGGGGTTTTGATCGTGAACACATTGTAGCCTTGCGCGACATTCGCATAGCGCTCGCGACGCTCCTTCACAAGACTGAAGTTGTCTTCGCTATCACTGGTCAAGGCTTACCGCCCTGAGTATATCCTGCACCATCTGTCGGCCTCAGCCTCGGCTTCCGAGCCTGGGCTCACGAGCCCACGGATCGAGTCCACCACGCGAGAAGGAGGTTCATCTTCGAGACACGGCCGCTCCCTTGGTTGGAGAGACGAGAGATCGGCAGCGAGAGAGGTCATCATAAACGTGTTTGACTTTAGGCTCGTACTTGCGCAGCTACTCTATTGGCTGCTACTACCACATGTCTACCACTTCTGGCAATCTGCACCGCCGAGACCCACTGCAGTATGTTGTTCCCTGCTTCGAGCTCCCTGATCCTCCTCTCCTTATCGTTACGATCTCTCAGAATCAGAACTCTCACGCTCCGGCCACCATCTGTTGTGACCTCTCCCTCGAATCGCGGTATAACATCGAACAATGCCACGCGCTGTCTCTAACAGTGTGGATGACACCCGCAGACATTGTGTCGCTTGGAGTCTTTCGGTGCCAGCGAGCGCCCAACGGAGGCAAGGATACTACAATCATGTAGATCTCTCCTTGCCGCCCATGACTACGACGTAATCAAAGGAGAGCGCAGATGTGTAGCATTGCATTCATGCAGAGTGCATACTATATGGTTACTAGAGCGCTGCTTGACCGCGGGTCGGTCAGCTATACAGAGCGCATTATACTCACTTTGAATGTCTAGCACAGACACTATCAACGCCGATGTCTTGTTAGTATACACCTACGAAGCTCTAGTAGAGTCCGGAAGCACGGCTAATAGTCACTCCAGCGACGAGAAGACGAACCTTCTCGAACAAGCGAACCACCGGAACAATGAAATGGAGGGACGTAATGGAAGGAACGGCTTGTCGCGGTATGTTAACAATGAGGGCTTCGCAATGCTACTGTGGGTAGAAGATTCGTCTCATTGCTGAAATATCACCGACCGAGTAGCACTGCAAGATCTTGTACTATTCTCCTACCCACCCATTTCTACATCTGTCAGGCCAAATTCGTTCTCCGGTACCGAGACACTGATCGTCCGACCCGGGCGGGCCTGGCTTTAGAAACGATTTGTTCCCCAGTGGATAAATGCAACAGAACCCAGCACGGGCAGCCGCTAGTCGATGCTCCAAACCTGCGAGCTTCGAGCTGCCACATGTCTCGAAGACATTGTTTCGTGTGGATTGGAAGAGCAGCGTGCCTGTTTGACGAAGCGTTCCGATCTCGATCGAAGAGTGCTGAAACGCATGTATTGAAATGCAATGCCTCTGGGGGAAGCGCAGTGATTGCTTAACCGCACTCGTTAAACCTTTTCTCCAGTTTGAGATGGCTCACATTCAATGCTTCGGGCTCTCGCAATCTTGAGTGGTTTGAGTATCTAGCATCGATTCGCGAGTTATTAAGCCTTTTTGACGTGGTGTTCGATTTCTGAAGTTCTGGAATGTTAACAGGCCTGGTTCGTTCCGTTGATCCTGCTAGAAGATTCTCCTGCGTAGGTCAGCCTTGCCGTCCATGTTCGTACTTGTATCGTACTACATTCCTATGCCGATGTTCGACAATAGCATTGCTCGCCTAGTTACGCAGCTAACAGTGTAGCATTATGATATAGATAGAGAAAGAGCTTTGCTCCTTGATAGCATTGTTTACTTTTCTTTGTTCCGTCTCGCTAGCGATAAAGGCTTTGTTCTTGCACGGAATCTGTTAATAGAAGCAGTTACCACGAAGATAGCTGTCTGAGACAGCTACACAGAAGATTCACTTTACAGACTACATTTACCCTACCGTGAAGCGACATGTAGCAGCTTGTAATTGGATCAATAGCATTATCTTGACAATGACATACTCTACGAGTGAGAAAGTCCTTGTCCTCGAGCAAAAGAGGGGGAGAAAAGCATTGTTCTTATTAATAGCATTGATCCAAACAAAGCCTACGTTACTTTCAAAGCATTCACACAATGAAGTTCACTTGACGAACAACACATTGTGTTGTAGAATTCACTACGCACACACGTTTCTGTTAAAAGACACACTTTCCCCTTCAAATCTAGGAGAAGCAAATTCGAGCATCCACACATACTACACCACCTTCTACCTACTTCGCTCAAGACAAGACAAAAGAGACGAGCGAAAATACACATAACAGAAGACAGGGCCGAGACTTCGAAAGAAAGCACTACTCAAACCACGCTGCCGACCCCGATAGCAACAACAACGATTAGCAACATGGGGTCCATTCCAAGCTCTACTAGCTCTCACAGTACCAGCTCCCAGTCGCAGGAAACCCCTCCCACCAATGCTACCACTGACACCGCCATTCAGAGCTTGACTTCTTCCACTTCAGTAGGGCGCAAAGTCTCTGTTGCCTACTCACCCGAGACCAACCCACCCCGCTCTCCTAAGAACATTACCGCACGACGCATCTCCGAGAACTTTCAGCCCACTTCTGATTTCCTCAATCACGGAGAAAGCGTCGAGCTCCCAGCGACTACCAATCCGTTCTCGCATTTCCCCGAGGTTGAGCATGGTGGATTTCCACAAGCTTCTAATCCGTTTCCGCGTCTCCCTGACATCGACTCGGTTGGAAAGGAGATTGTGAAGGGTGAGGCCGGTGCTGAGGTTGGTCGTGATGGAGCAGGAGAAGAGCAGGAAGGACACGTCATTCCAGCTCGGCGTGTTCGGGCAGCGGACATTGCGGCAGCTTATCGTCGAGCAGGAGAAGAGGGACGAAGCCAGGCCGTTTGGGTGACGTTCTTTGCACGCCAGACAGGCGTCTCCCTTACGCAGGCACTACGGATTCTGGACGAGGTTTGTGAAGGGGGTGTTGTTCTTGAAGCGCCTACTCATCGTCGTTAGGAAAGAGCTCCACGCCTGACTCATGTGGAATGAAGAGATTTTCCTGCGCGAGAGGGATCTCCCGCTCGGAGGGAGGATCGAAAACGGTGCCATGTTGACATAATGGCCGCGGATACTGTCAAGGCGGTTGAACACGGGTTTGGCGTTTGTGGTTGCATAGAACAGTGTGGAAGCGGGAGTAATCGGAGGAACTAATAGTTGGGAGGTGCATTGCTTGCTCGTAGGCTTGGTTTCCTTTAGTTGGATGGAACTATTACGGCAGGCGCATAGTACGGTTTTCGAAATCGGGGTTCTGAATGTTAAACGCTTTCCGGGTATGACCATATCCTGAATGCATAACACGCGGATAAGTTAGGTTTATAACAGAAACTGAAATGTTAGTATAGCTCCGAGAACTTCTATTAAAGTCTTCCCTGTCTGTTAAGATGTAGTAACATGAATGATTCATTTGCATTCGAGTTGTGTACAGCTTCGCGAGTCCGATCTACCTACTTGTTAGACCTGGGTTCTCCTCTCCCGGAAGTTATATTATCAATTGCCGGAGGCAGGCTCGATACCTATCACGTTGCTAAAGCTATGTAGGATCTCACATAACGAGTAAAGTTAACGTATAGATTCCTCTCGGTTATGTGAGGAATGGAACGTCTCCTATTCTCTATAGCTAGGATTCCACTACACCGAGGCAAAGTAGAAGCCCGATGCAGGTCGCCTTCGCAGTAAATTCGGTCCACGTAACTATCGTGGCCTCGTTAGCCGTAGTCTCTACGAATTTGAAGGCGAAAAGGAATTTCCAAGGAGTGCTTATCACGATGTTGTGGAGTAGCTAAGACAGGAGGCGCGCTCGAGCGGGATAATCGAAAGACACAGCGTTTGACATGTTTATGCAGCGGCGTAACGTCGTCTCCAGAGCTTTCGAGATCCATATCGCTTTGTATAAGCGAAAAATCTTGGCACTAAGCGCTTAAGAACGATCAACTTCGCCCTAGCCACTTGGCGATCTATGCTCTGCTCGACGATCAAGGCTGTCGATAGCGTGTGATGTAATGTGATCGATGGAGTGTGGGTAGCTTCCGTTGCGGGGCTTGGCGGCGTGTCTATGTTTCGTCTGCAAAGATCTATGGTTTTCTTTGGATTCAAGACAGATTCAGTTTCGTGGTAAAACCTGTCGTACCACGAAACGAAATGTTTCGGCGGAGTCGATCGCTCCGCATCTGACACCTGTTGTGAGATAGTTTGCCAGTCGTAATCTGCATCCTTTGGAGGAGCCGCACGTGTTTGACGAACAGGATACCATCCCTTTGATGCGGTTGTATGCCTTCAGTGATCCGTTGGAACTGGATTCCCGTACTTACCCATCATTCGAGAAGATTTCTAAAGCGTCGAGGAATCCTAAACGTACCAAAAGCGGCAGGTGAACTCCAATTCGTCTTTTGTCCATTTCAGACAACAACAAGTCGAACGACTCATGAAAAACGAGACTGGCTGGCGTTTCTCCCTGCAAAGGCCGTATAGGAGCCAGACAAATGTTGGAACTCAACCTCAATCGTCAGCTCTTCGGAGCACAGTCCAGACAGCCGCTTCAAACTTATCCCACGAGAGCCTTAGCGACAAGATAGCGGAGAGTGCAAGGTCAACGATAGGAGATGACACTACCTGGATCGAGGAGAGGAACGGCTTATACTTCCAGAAGAGCGGGGGTCCGGCGCTAGAATACGTCCTAATGTAATGATGTGAGCAACGTGCTCGGAGAGGAAATCTCCGCTGATCGGCTGTAATAGGCCCAGGCAAATTTTGAGACCAAGGTTCCAGACATGAGACATTGATCGGGAAAGATTTCCTGATTATGCGATTTCTTTATTGTGCGATTTCTTTTCCCTCAGATGTAAGAGCAACCCCAGTACTCAAAGCATCGTGGAGCATGGGTTGCGAGCCGAGGTTGTCTCGGCGAGCACAAAACGATAATTTTTGAAAGCACTCATTGCTCACGTATTTGGCAAGGCCAGCGGATGCGCAAGAAGCTTGTCCCCCTCTGTAAGAAAAATCCGTCGTCGTCTGGAAGTCGATAAGGTGCACGGTGACCGATTATTTGGATGCAGCAATCTTCGCCGCTGTATGCTTGCTGGAATTCTTCTCTCGTCCAAACAACGCACTGCGGGGCACTTGATCATGCGCCGAGATATTCCTCTTGACACTCCACTTCAACGGTCCGACTCTGCGATGGTATTGCGAGGGAAGTCGACTCGGAAATCCGGAATTGAAGCCATGTGGACGTTTCAGATGATGGGAATTAGTGAAGAAGTCGATTGTAAGCAGCAAGCACCACCCTGTCTCTGGTTTCCACAAAGTCGAGTTTGGTACTGGAGAGTAGGTTGGCGAACCACGCCATGCTTCGATGCCAGTGGAATCTAAGCAATGGCGAGAGAAGCTTGAATCAAGATCCAAGCTACCTCGTACCAAGGTCGCTTTGCAACAAGCGCGACCGCCTGATACAGAACATGTCAGCAAAACTGGGAAGTCGGGCCGCTGGACGAAGAGCGCAGTCGGCGTGAGATCATGCGCTGCTGGCCTGTACCAACTTCGACATGGTTCGTACGAAAGCTCTTGGCCGAGGACCCCCCATGATAGCGTCGAGCGCTAGGGAGCAGACGCCCACGGTCGCACGCATCTGCTGAATGAGTCCGCATGTCGTTCATATCGGTGCCCCAGTCCAGCCTTGCCCGAGTTGCCAACATCTTCTCGGAGAACAAGACGAGGTAGCTCACAACCTCCTGCCCACTACCAGCGACGCTCTTTTTGCACTCATACTTGTCCTACACGGCATGTATCGCTTGATCTTGAGATTTCTCCAAATGCTAACGCTTGACCCGCCGCTTGAATATCCGCCAGCTGCTTTCCTTTGTCCTGTCCATTGTCCTGTCCATTGTCCAGTCCATTGTCCAGTGCATTGTCCTGTCCATTGTCCAGTGCATTGTCCAGTCCTTTTTCCAGTGCTTGATCCAGTGCTTTGTCCAATCCTCTGTCTAGCTCTTTGTCTAGACCTTTGTCCTGTCCTTTGTTCTTTCTCCTCTATTCTTTCTGAACTCCGCGGTCTTCCGCACCCCGTGCATGCCCTGCATCTCTCATTTTGTTTTATGATTATCGTTCCGCCTCTCTTCTAAGTACGCATATTAGGCCTTCGTGGGTGGTATGAAGAGGGGTTGCAGTGGATCGGGCGTCGGGTCAGTCGGCCCTCGTGAAAAGGCATTGTCTTGGCTGGAGTGCTTTGCGCGAAGTGTTTCGATTGAAATGTTAATGAGAACCCGAACTTTGATGTTGCCAAAATCCACGACTGGTGCAGGACTTTAAAGAAAGCCATCGCGGATGTTTGCATTCTCAATCCATGAAGCTCGGTCTGGCTAACGTTGTCGCGCTTGTCTCCGAATATGTGGGGTCAAGCCATCGTACGTGGGTTGAGTTGACAAGTCCCACTGAATTCGGCGTCTCTATAAGAGAAGCGGTATCGCTACCGAGAGCGTCAATCGGCTCAGCAGCGAGCAGGCAGCGTCGAGTGGCCATCCCGCGGTCGCAGTAGCGGGCAGAGCTTTTGAATGACTACATCTAACCAGCCAGGTCTGCTTGAGGTCGACACTGCAGTCCTCACCAATATAATGTAATGAAGCATCTGGCTCGTGTGTCGTCCCGCCTGCCCCTTGTTCTGATGCTTTATCCAACCCTTTGTCTAGAATCAAGCCCGCGCGACTAAGAATGCCTTTGTTTCCGAAGTCGCTCCGCGTGGCTTTCGTCATGAACTTTCGCTTTCCGTCGCTGTCATCCAGAACCGAATCAAGTCAATCGACTTTGCTGCTCGAATGCCGGCCTTTCTGAGTGTATTGAAATGCGTCGTGATCGTCGTATGGTGTGATTTTTGCAGAAGGTATGGGGAGCGACGCAGAAGATTGCGATTGCGACGACTGATCGGCGACTGATCGGCGACTGCAGCCTGTCGGCAACATGGCGCAATCAAATATTAGCGGTATGCCCACAAACATTTGATGGCCCAGAAGCCCAGCGTCTGGGATCTCCGGAGCTTCTTTACTGGTCTTCGTGGTCTGTTCAGTTGTCCGTTAGTAGCACTGATGTCCTGACCACAATCGCTAAGCGAGTTCAAATGACTCGAATCAAGATGCAATCAAGCGAATCTTGCAAGGAAGTGCCTTCTCGCGGGTGGATAACGGCTGTGAGTAGTTTTTGATCGATAGCTAATAACAAAGTAAGCCACCCCGCACCGCCACCTACCCGACAGACTCGGGAGTCGGGCCTCAGTCTCCCGGGACCAGCACAGGATTGCTTTGGAAAACTCAGCACCGGGAAGGCAAAAAGCTCATTTGCGCTCACTTTCACCATCGAATATAGCCGTCGCGAAGTGTTCTGTAGATTGCGACGTCAACGAAGGAGCCTGGTCCTTGGAGGTGCTTTAGTCAAGGCTCCGAGCTTGCAGCGAGCAGTGATGCGAGGTAGGGAGGCATGCTTGGCTCTTGCCTCGCGGAGAGCGCTCTGCGGCCCATTGTTTGCATCTAATCTATTGTTAGAGGATACGAGATGCACGTAGCGAGATTACGGCAGACTGTTAGGCTGATTTTGTTACTTGGCTGTCAGTAACAACAAAGCGTAAGCTTGTCGACGTCAGACCCCTCGCAGCTGTCGTACATACCACCATCGATTTTGAACCCTCGTCCGATCGAAGGCTGCGACTGTGATCTACGGCCGACAAGGGAGACCATCTAGAGCCCAGGCTCCGATTCTTCTCGACAGAGATGTCTTGCTCTTTCTTCCGCGCTTTCAACTCGGCCAAGTGTCTACATTCCTCAGCTGGACCCTGCCGATGTCTTTCTCGGTGGAGAAAACTTTCCCCTGTCTACTTTGTATCGCCCTGAACATGTGATTCGTGGTCGCAACCAGAATGGCTGACAGCAGTGGCTGATGTTGAAAGCGAAAGCGTAAGCTAGGGTTACTCAGCTCAG